GGGGGGGGGTAGGGAGGAGGCGGGATCTTCCACCTGGACTCCCCCTTCAAGAACTGGTCAGATATAAGGCCCTGTGGCCCCTTTTCCTCCCCAGTCTCTTCTGTTTCCTTCCCCTCTGCCCCAGCAGTTACCACCCCAGAGTACTCCCTGCTCCCTACAGATGGCTCCATAGGAGGAAACATGCCTTCATCCCAGTCCTGATGTAAGGGATGAGCCTTTGGAAATCAGGGCCTCCTTCCTCCTAGTGCCTCCAAGGGTGACCGTGCTCCCCAAGTCTCCAGTGGAGCTGGGCCAGCCCAACATCCTCATCTGCATCGTGGACAACATCTTCCCCCCTGTAATCAACATCACCTGGTTACGCAATGGGCACGAGATCACCGAGGGGGTGTCCCAGACCAGCTTCTACTCCCAGCCTGACCATTTGTTTCGCAAGTTCCAGTACCTGACCTTCGTGCCCTCAGCCAAGGATGCCTATGACTGCAAGGTGGAGCACTGGGGCCTGGACGGGCCGCTCCTCAAGCACTGGGGTATGGAGTCCCCTCCCCAGCCCACCACTCTAGACCAAGTTTCCTTTACTCTAGAATCCCTTTGCTCTACCCCCTGACCCTCCTTTCTCTCCCAGAGCCCCCAGTGCCAACCTTGCTGCCAAACACCGCAGAGACTCTCGTCTGTGCCTTGGGCCTGACCGCTGGCCTGCTGGGCTTCCTCGTAGGCACCTTCCTCATCATCACAAGCACACGTCTGCCCAATGGCCCCAGGTACAGAGTCCCCTGGAGGAAAATGAATGACTCTGACAAGGATATTGGTGGATAATCAGACTTTATGGGGAAGTTGGGGGTCAGGAAAGGGTTAGACAAGTAGTGGGTAGAGAATAGAAAGGCAGAGATGGAGTAAGGAAGATTTGGGAGGAGGTGGGCATTCAGAGATAGGATCCTAGAATCATTGTGAGTTTGGATCTTAATCATGTGTTTTTTTTTCTTTTCTTTTTTCTATTTTAGATAATGATCCTTCTGAAGCAAACCAATTGTAGGAAACAGCCTGCTATTTCCTTGCAGGATTTTAACAACCCTTGCATGCATGCTCAGTGACACAGTCTACTCTGTATACCCTACTGTGCTGACTTTGAATGGGATTGACCTCTGTCCTATAGGTCACCTCCTTCTGACCCCAGGACTCATGGTAGGACATGCAGGGCACCAACTACCTCCCCTTCTGACCATGGCATGCACATACACACACATACACACACACACAATCCTTGCTTTACCCAAGGCTCTGGATAGCAGCACTAACTTTTCCAATGGTGTTTGCACTGTATCCTTTTTGCCAGGTCTTGGCCAGCTATCCCAGGGTGTGTGAGATGCTGGGACCTGGAAGAGGGGTCCTGGGTGACCAATGAGCATGACCACGTGGACTGGAGATTTGTAACTAAGTAACAATGTGTATTATTTTGTGAATGGGTCATTTCACAAAGACTTCTCAGAATCTGCTTCCTGAATTAAGATTTGCCTTGCAATGGATGAAAAAGTATTCTGTCCTTTGTAATTCCCTCAACTTAGGACAGTCCTGAAGGCACTTGGAAAGGGAAGGTTCATGGGGATTCCACTCCTATCTGGATTTATTCTGTATGACGAAGCCACTGGCGTCCAGCTATGTTCTACATCATCTCCTTTTCAACATTTCCTGAAGGCCCATGCATGACAGAGAGAAGTCCAAGGCTTAGAAAAGATGCTACTTCCCTCAATGGGGTCAATTATATCAGGTATGGGGGTAGCAGAGTAGACCTGGAAGATGTGTGGTAGGAGAGGAGCTCTAAGAGAGTTCCATGTGAACATTTTCTAATTACGTGGCCCGGGAGATTTTAGTTTACTGCAAAAAAAAAAAAAAAAAAAAAGAAAAAAAAGAAAAAAACACATAAAGAGATCAGTAACCATACAATACAGTTATGTCAAGTTTATATCTATGTACGAGATACAGATTGGTCATTTTCAAGCCAGAATGCATGTAAGAATCACTTGGAAGCCTTTTAAAAGTAACATCACCCAAAAGTAATCAGGGTCTTGGGGTAGGGAAGAGTGGTGGCAGGGAGTCTACAATTTTTTTTTTCTTCATGGGAGAAAGAGCAGAGTCTTGCTGCATCACAGTTGTCCTGTCCCAGCCTCCCAATTAGCTAGGATTATAGGAGAACTGGAATGTTCAGGTTGGCCTGGGAACTGAAACTAGGTTTCTACTGTGGCTTCCAGCCTCCAAGTGGTGGCTGTGTGACCATCTCAACTAGGCCAAGGAGTGTTATTTTAAACATGTTCTTGATGATTCTGATACAACCATCCTGGACTTCGGCTCTGGTCTGGTAACTGGGACCCATTGACACAATCTGATGGTACTGGAGGTCATTGGAAGGGGATCCCTGAGGTGAACCAGAAGGCTTTCTGGAGAATCTGGGTCTGTTGGGGCATCAACATGATCAAAATACAAGTAAGTAGGGGCAAGATGGGGGTTTGAATTGTGAGCATTTGCTCTTGGAAAGGAAGGAAACTAAGAGATTATAGGAACTTGGTGGGCTTCCCAAGAGAGAATGAATTGGAAGAAATCAATGACCAGGGGAAGACTGACGGAAGTGGGAATTGTCTTGGTCAATGTTTTTGTTTGCCAGTAACATAAATCCTCTTTGATCATGTTCAAAGTAGAGGATATTTACAATAAAGGAATG